GGCCCTGTGTATATATGGCAGGATACTTACACTCATATTTAGGGGCCTACGTGGTTCTTCATTATTTGGCCTACGGAATTTCCATGCGTAACTTATGCCAAGATAATATGTTTGGAGGTTGAAATGAGTGGTGTCGATGTTTCTTGCCCAAATTTTCTTATCGCAATTTTATATCGCTTTTTTTGGCAAACATATGGTTTTGAACCTGTGTATATATGGTAGCTTGACTTACGCTCATATATAAGGGCCTACATGGTTCTTGATTATTTGACCTGCTAAAATTCAAAAAATAATTGATGCCTATTTATTATGTTTGGAGCTTGAAATGAGTGGAGTCAATGTTTCTTTCCCAAACTTTTTTATAGCAATTTCATTTAGTTTTTTTGGAAAATATATAATTTCTTACCTTGTATATATATGGTAGAAAGACTTACACTCTTATTTAAGGGCCTACTTGGTTCTTGATTATTTGTCCTACTGAAATTCCAAGGGTAACTGATGCCAATGTATTATGTTTGGAGCTTCAAATGAGTGAAGTCAATGTTTCTTGCCCGGATTGCTTTTTAGCATTTTCATTTCGTTTTTTCTGCGAACATATGGTTTTTGACCCATTGTATATATGGTAGAATGACTTACACTCATATATAAGGGCCTACATGGTTCTTGATTACTTGACTTGCAAAAATTCCAAAGATAATTGATGCCTATTTATTATGTTTGGAGCTTTAAATGAGTGGAGTCAAGGTTTCTTCCCCAAATTTTTTAATACCAATTTTCATTTTGTTTTTTTCGGCAAACTTATGGTTTTTGACCCTGTGCATATATGGTAGCAAGACTTACACTCATATTTACAGGCCTACATGGTTCTTGATTATTTGGCGTGCTGAAATTCCAAGGGTAACTGATACCAATGTATTATTTTCGGAGCTTGAAAGGAGTGGCGTCAACGTGTCTTTCCAAGATTTTTTTATAGCAATTTCATTTCGGTTTTTTGGCAAACACATGGTTTTTGGCCCAGTGTATATATGGTAGCATGACTTACACTCATATATAAGGGCCTACATTGTTCTTGATTATTTGGCTTGCTGAAACTCCAAGGGTAACTGTTGTCGATGTATTATGTTTAGAGCATGAAATGAGTGGAGTCAATTTTTTTTCCCCAGATTTATTTTTAGCAATTTTATTTCGGTTTTTTGTAAAAGATATGGTTTTTTGTAAAAGATATGGTTATTAACCCAACATATATATGATAGCATTTTGATTATTTGGCTTGCTGAAATTTCAAGTTAACTGATGCCTATGTATTATGTTTGGAAGTGAGTGGAGTTAATGTTTCTTGCCAAGAATTTTTTATATCAATTTCAATTCGTTTTTTTGGCAAACATATGGCTTTTGTCACTGTGTATATATGGTAGCATGAGTTACACTCATATTTAAGGGCCTACATGGTTCTTGACTATTTGATCTGCTGAAATTCCACGGATAAGTGATGCCCATCCATTATGTTTGGAGCTTGAAATGAGTGGAGTCAATGTTTTTGGCCCAGATTTTTTTATAGCAATTTCATTTCAATTTTTTGGAAAACAAAAGGTTTTCGACCATGTGATTATATGGTAGCATGACTTACACTCATATTTAAGGGCCTAGATGGTTCTAGATTATTCGGCCTGCTGAATTCCAAGGGTAACTGATGCCAATGTATTATGTTTGGATCTTGAAATGAGAGGAGTCATTGTTTCTTGCAGAGAGTTGCTTATAGCAATTTCATTTCGATTTTTTGGCAAACATAGGGTTTTTGACCCTGTGTATAAAGGGTAGTATGACTTAAACTCATATCTAAGGGCCAACATGGTTCTTGATTATTTGATCAACTGAAATTCCAAGGATAATTGATGTCTATTAATTATTTTTGGAGCTTTATGGTACTATGATTTACACTCATATTGAAGGGCCAACTAGGTTCTGTATTATTTGGCCTGCTTAATGTTTGGAGCTTGAAATGAGTGGAGTCAATGTTTCTTGCTTAGATATTTTTACAACAATTTCATTTCGGTTTTTTTACAAACATATGGTTTTTAACCCTGTGTATATATGGTAGCATGACTTAGACTCATATTTAATGGCCAACATGGTTCTTGATTAATTTGCCTGCTAAAATTCCAAGGGTAACTAATGCCAATTTAATACGTTTGGAGGTTGAAATGAGTGGAGTGAAAGTTTCTTGCCCAAATTTTTTTATAGTAATTTTATTTCTTTTTTATTTGCAAAAATAAGGTTTATGACCCTCTATATATATGGTAGCATGACTTACACTCATATATAAGGGCCGGAATGGTTCTTGATTATTTGACCTGCTGAAATTACACGGATAAGTGATGCCAATGTTTTATGTTTGGAGCTTGAAAAAACGGAGTACTTGTTTCTTGGCCAGATTTTTTAGAGAAATTTCGTTTCTTTTTTGTGGCAAACATAAGGTTTTTGACCCTGTGTATATATGGTCGCGTGACATACACTTATATTAGGGGCCCACTGTGTATATATGGTAGCATGACTTACACTCATATTTAAGGGCCTACATGGTTCTTGATTATTTGGCCTGCTGAATTTCACGGGGCAACTGATGCCAAAGATTTATGTTTGGAGCTTGAAATGAGTGGAGTCAAGGTTTCTTGCCTTGATTTTTTTATTGCAATATCCTTTCAATTTTTTTTGAAAAAATATGGTTTTTGCCCTTGTGTATATATGGTAGCTTGACTTACACTCATATATATAAGGACCTACATGGTTCTCGATTACTTGACCAACTGAAATTCCAAGGATAATTGATGCCTATTAATTATGTTTGGAGCTTCAAATGAAGGGAGTCAATGATTCTTGCCCAAATCTTTTTAAAGCAATTTCACTTCGTTTTTTTGGCAAACATATATTTTTGACCCTGTGTATATATGGTAGCATGACTTACACTCATATATAAGGGCCTACATGGTTCTTTATTATTTGACCTACTGTAATTCCAAGGAAAATTGATGCCTATATATTATGTTTTGAGCCTGAAATGAGTAGAGTCAATGTTTCTTGCCCAAACTTTTTTAAAGCAGATTAATTTAGTATTTTTGGCAAACATATGGTTTTTGACCCAGTGTATATATGGTAGCATGACTACACTCATATTCAAGGGCCTACGAGGTTCTTGATTATTTCGCCTGCTGAAATTTCAAGGGTAGCTGATGCCAATGTATTATGTTGGGAGCTTAAAATGAGTGGAATAAATGTTTCTTGTGAAGATTTTTTTATAGAAATTTCATTTTGTTTTTTTTGGAAAATATATTGTTTTGACCATTTGTATTTATGGTAGCACGACTTACACTCATATACAAAGGCCTACTTGGTTCTTGATTATTTCGCCTGCTGAAATTCCAAGGGTAACTAATGCCAATGTATTATATTTGGAGCTTCAAATGAGTGGAGTCAATGTTTCTAGCCCAGATTTCGTTTTAGTAATTTCATTTCTTTTTCTGCAAACATATGGTTTTTGACCCAGTGTATATATGGTAGCATGACTTACACTCATATTTAAGGGCCTACATGGTTATTAATTAATTGGCCTGCTAAAATTCCAAGGGTAACTGATGCCAATGTATTATGTTTGGAGCTTCAAATGAATGGAGTCAATGTTTCTTGCCTAGATTTTTTATTAGCATTTTCATTT